ATATAACAAATTATCCAAGAAGCTGGACTTTACGTAACATCTCTAAGGACCAATTTGCATACCGTATTTTAAACACTAAAAAAAAAAACAGTTATACAGTTCCAAAAAAAAGTTAATTTTTTAAGGGGATTTTTCAAGACAAAAATATTTTGTTTTGAGTCTACAAGCAAATTTTATTCAAAATGAAATGAGTGAATGTAGCTGTAAAAACATTACGACTATTGTGATTTGTTTGATTACATTCACATTTTTACATTCACTTTGCCTTTCAAAGCAGGAATCTTTGGAGCAACTGAAAGAAAACTTTAAATTGTCAAGCCGGTGCTTAAAAGTATATAATTTCAATTTATAACAAGTCTCATTTTAAAGGACAGGGACCCAGAAGGAGGTGGGGATGGGGGGGTCCTAGGTCTGTTGATAAACTCACTGATGCTTTGTTGAGTCTTCCAAGTTTTCAGTGTAAATAAAATACCTAACAATGTAATTTTGCTGTTTTCTGATAGAAAATGGAAGAAATACTAATGTATTAAATTTATTTCATGATAAAACAGATTTCACCCATACTGTGAAATCCTGACTATCTTTGCAAAATACCATATTAAAAAAATCGTCTTAGACACGGATGTAGGTGGGCACTATGCAAGCTGTTGCTGGTCAGTTGTATCATTGTAGATGTTGCTAGAAGTACCAAATAAAGTCTGTGCACTTCCAATAATCGTCTTTCTATTTCTTGAAAGAAGTAAGAATTTTAAGATTATCATATGCCTTATAAATTCTAAGGCTTTTAGTGATATGTTATATTTGAATAAGATGAAGATAAGATTTTGATAACACTGGCCTTACAGTGCCTCTTTACATACTATTGTGTATAAGTATTTATTTAAAATATATGTGGTTTCAATTATAGGACCAAAACTACTGAATTTAATCAAAATGCACTTTCTTAAGACTTTTAAACAGGATTTTTTTGTGTGTGAAAAAATCTACTCAAAATCGCCTTTGGGGAAAGTTGACAGCAAAAGTCAGCTATGCAAATAAACCCTTTTGTTTCAGTGCCAATTTGCAGAAATTTCTATCTGAATTCCCATAAATTTTTTCTGAAAATTTCTAAGATTGGAGCTGGAAGTTAGGCAGAGGGTGAAATCAAGTTACATGATAATATACCAACCACAACTTTGAACATTAGGTTGATTTTATAGTTCTCTATTTAAAGATGATAGTCAACAGTTGTATGGAGAAAGGAAGATCAAAAACCATACGTTTCTCTATAGATGAAGGAAATGACTTAAAACCTTAAACCTTATGAAGACTTGACTTTAAAAATATTGCTTACATGGTGTCTTTTATAATATATACTAGAGGCCTGGTGCACAAATTCGTGCACCAGTGGGGTCCCTTGGCCTGGCCTGTGGGATCCCGCCGAAACCAACTCTCCGACATCCCGGAGGGGTTCCAGATTGTGAGAGGGCGCAGGCCAAGGGACCTCACCAGTGCACAATTAGGGCGGGGAAGGATGCAGGAGGTTGGCTAGGGAGGGATTATGGGAGGGCTCCAGGGTCCAGCCTGTCTTGCTCAGTCCTGATTGGCCAGATCCCAGCAGCAAGCTAACCTACTGGTCAGAGCATCTGTCCCCTGGTGGTCAGTGTATATTATAGTGACTGGTCGACAGTCTGCCTCCTGGTGATCAATGCATCATAGTGAGCAGTTGAGCAGCCTTAGTATATCATTAGCATATTATGCTTTGATTGAACAAATGACCACTTAGCATATTAGGCTCTTATTATATAGGATTAGTTAGAACACAATAAAATCCAGATACATTTAAACCAGACACACCTTTTTTCCTCAACAGATTTCCAGCTTCCCAATTAGATCATTGGAAGTTTAAGTGTAAATTCGTGATAAAATGAGAAAACAAATGGCCTATTTTTTAAAATATTAGTGGGCCTCAGTAAACAATTTATCTTTCAGATCTTAACATTAAACATAAGAGGACTGAGTAAAAAAGTTAACACTTTTCTTAAACTGGTCATTCTTTCTAACCTATGGTTCTGGGGGGGGTGGGGGGAGGTTCCCACCCAGTTTCTTCTTAGATTCTATACTTTCATCAAGCTGAAAGGTGTTGCAGACTGAATGTGTCTCCCCAACATTTACTGTTGAAACCCTCACCCCCAGTGCGATGGTGTTTGAGGAGAAGGGCTTTGGGAGGTAACCAGGCCTTAGCCCTGGTGATGGGTGGCTGAGAGCTTGCGTTCTCTGCCACGAAGACACAGCAAGGCCCTGGCAAGAACCCAATCAGCCGGCACCTCCATCTCGGACTCGCAGCCGCCAGAAGAGCAGGAATAAACGTCTGTTGTCTCCCTCGTCCCGTGGACGAAACGTCTAGCAGCCATGCAAAGGCATGGGGAGGCAGAAGTCGCCCATACCATGGGAGCGGGGACCTGGGCAAACCCCGGCCGGGTCCATAGCCGGGCCCTGCGACAGGCCCACGCTCACCTGCAGCTCCACTTACCTGCAGCCTCCTCGCATCCGGAAACATCCAATGGAAAAACCGCAGGAAGAACCCACGCACCGGGCCACCTGCGTGCTGGTCTGGGCGTGCGGTGAAAGCTCGCGTGGTGAGTCTCGCGAGGTGATGTCTCGCGCGAGCGGGCGCGCGCACACAGTGAAATCTCGCGTGATGAAATCTCGCGAGGTCCTCCCCTGCGCATGCTCCTGCCCGTGCGTCACGTCGTGGCCGCGCCTGGGCAGGTGGACTGTGGCGGAGGCCCAGTGCTGCGGACGGTCACCCTTGTTCCAGTCACCGGCGGCCCCACGGGCAGGAGCAGTGATGCTGGGAAGCGGGGTGCACCCGAGAGGAGCCGGGAAATGCTGCTCGTGTGTGACGAGGTGAGTGAGGGCGGTGAGGCCCTGCGCCTGAGAGCGGGCCCAGACCCCCGTGTTGTTAATACGGGGCTTTGTCATACTTTTTTAAAAAAATATTTTTATTGATTTCAGAGAGGAAGGGAGAGGGAGAAGGAGATAGAAACATCAAAGATGAGAATCATTGATCAGCTGCCTCCTGCACGCCCCCTGCTGGGGATCAAGCTGGCAACCTGGGCATGTGCCCTTGACCGGAATCGAACCTGGGACCCTGCAGTCCGCAGGCTGAGGCTCTACCCATTGAACCACACCGGCCAGGGCTGTCATACTTGTTCTGTAAGTTACCCTTCCGCCCTCCCTGTGCCGAATCCTAAGCGAGCACAGTGCGCATGTGCAGGGGAGAGCCTGGTGCCTTCAGGGGTGCACCAGCCCGGACGCTCTGCACACCCGTCCTTTAGGGTTTTTATGGGGGATTCACCCCACAGGGAGAGTAAGTCATCCCTGAAGTCCCTCGTCCAGCCCTTCCCCCTCCCTGAGGTGGGAATGGGCGCAAAGGTCCAGCCCTCTCCCACTTGCTTGGTTCCCCTGGCCGCCGGCCCCCATCCTTCCTGGTTTTGCAGAGGTTCCCTCCTCCACACCGTGCAAATGCACAGGGACGGGCCCACGGGAGAGCATCAGAGTTTAACACCCGCGCGCGGGGATTCACGTAGGCATGAACCCCTACCCCCCAACAGGCACCGTTCACTGTGTGTGTCGGACATTTGCGCAAAGAATGGGGCCTTAGATTTCAGAAGTGAGGATGGGGGTTTCCACGAGTTGAGTCAGAGCTGCACACACGTGGCGGGAAAAATCCCCGATAGGCGACTGGGAAACGGTGGGACCTGGGGTATGTGGCTGACAGGCACCCGTGAAGCCCTGTTCTGCGTCCACACTTAATGCAGATTCCGCGAAGGTGGCATCCTCAGGTCCCCCTGGAGCAGGTCTTCTTGAATCTCTTGGGCAGGAAATGGGGGGGAAGAGTGGGAAGTTCTGAGCCTTTTGTTTCTTAATAAGCAGCTGAAAATCAATACCCCAAAGGCAGCTCCACGGTGGCCAAACTCTGGTTCCCCTCCATTGCATTCCAGTGTTAGAACGGACCAGGTAAGAATGAAACAGTCCTGGTTCCTGCTTCATCGGGTCCTCCAGTGGCAATTTCATAAACCCACGTAGGGAGCCCAAGCCGCCGCCAGCTGTCTCCCGCCGGACTGTCCCAAGGTCCCCTGGTCCACGTTGACCCCAGGGCAAAAGCACCCCACTTCTCTTACCATCCCTTTTCCTCTCTCTGGGTAGCTTCTCTTGTCCCAGCATCTGGTCATCGGTCCCTAGGACTGTGGGGTCGTCTGGGAACACGCTTCCTAGGTACCAATAGTAACTCCAGTACGTTTCTGAATTGTTCCACACGAGGCCAACATGTTCCCCCTCATTTCTGTTGAGGAGCTGCACGGAATGGAAGGCTTTGATGGGCAGAAGGGGTGAGAAAGGAAGCTTACAGCGGAGAGTTGGGGGAGCAGGGTCTCCAGGGGGGACCCCTCCCCATGTGCTGTGCTGACGGGGAGATTCCAGGCAGACGGGCTACCTTTGCGTTCCTGGGAGGGGGCGAAGCTGCAGTTAGTTTAGGTCTTGGGTGTGAGGTCTCGGTCGGTGACGTGGGTCTGCTTTCTCTTTTTTCACACTGCCCGCAGGTACAGTTCTGTTCTTTGGAACCACAAAGTCCTCAAATGCGTGATTTTGTTTTCCTGGAATAAGCTTCATTCCATCCTACCAATCCCCCTCTATCATAAAAGGCTAATATGCAAATTGTCCCCTTTGACCGGGAGTTTGACCAGGGGGCAGGGCCAGCCAACTGCCTGCGGCCCCACGGCAAGGCGGTCCCTTACATTTTAAAGAGAAATTACACATCAACCCTTATCACTAAACGCTATAAAAGGTAAGGCGTTGACACCTTCTGAACGGTATACATAATAAAGAACACCAAATCTGTAAAATTCATATATAAATTCCCAATAAAACACATTCTTTCCTTTTCGTTGGACACAACTCCCTTCCTCCAGTTTTAAACACCACCTCCTTTGCTCAAAAAAAAACGGCAAGCAGGAAGGTGAGGTCTCCACAGCGATGTATTGTTCATCATTTTAACGTTTTCACGAAGACTGTTCACATAGTGAGACATCCTCAAACACTGTCGCCGAAATGCTTGTTGCTTTTTTTAAATAACACCGATGAACCAGTGGAAGCAGTTTCCCGCCCTGGTGGAGCCCGTGGGTGTCGGTGTCCCTCCAATGAAAGTCCCATTGACAAATATTCTTGGCACCTGTCGGATACACAGAGGATCAGGTGTCACCCAGTGTCCGCAGCAGAACAGCACTGCGTGTAATGATGGGTGCTCACGTCCGGGTACCGTTACGGGCCGGGCACAACACTAAGGAAGCTCTTTCCTAAATCACCTATTTAAATCTTTCCACGCCGAGTCAGTTTTAGTTTTTAGCCTTATTTTGGAGGGAAATGGGGCAGTTACTTGTCCCAGATCATAGTCAGTAAACGACAGAGCTGGGACTTAAATTTCGGACCATCGGACTCTCCAAGCCCTTCCTCATAATCACGGCACCACATAAAAGTCCCTAATTATCACTAATGTTTCACTCTCTTACAGTTGTTGACCAAAGGGGAAGAGGACACAAACTTCTTCCATGAACATAAGAAGGAAAGTGGCACCATGGGGTATTTTTCTGATAAAGCATATTATGGGAAAACCCACAAAGGTCAAGAATCTGCCTGACCGGCATTGCTCAGTGGCCGAGCGTTGACCTATGAACCAGGAGGTCCCGGTTCCATTCCCAGTCAGGGCACATGTGGGGGTTGTGGGTTCAATCCCCCGTGTGGGGCGTGCAGGAGGCAGCCCAGCAATGATTCTCTCTCATCATTGATGTTTCCTTCTCCCTCTCCCTCTCCCTCTCCCTGTCTCTATGAAATAAATTTTTTAAAATATTTTTTTAAAAAAGAATCTAAGCACATGGAGCACTAAAGCACTCCTATTGAAACAGTCTGAACTGTCCAGTCAAACACACACACACACACGCACACACAAATACACTATATAAAACAAATGAACTACCCTCTTTCCTATTCTATAACTCTGGTTCCCAGATCTGCCATTTCTTGATCAATGTATGATTTTCGGAGAATGTCCGGGTCCTGGTTCCTAACACGAGGGTGACCGCCCCCCCCCCCAGGTCAGCGCCCACTTTGGGGGGAAGCACCACAGAGCGGGACGCCCGTCCTCCCGCCCTGGCGAGCCGTCCTGAGACCGGCTTCACATCCGCGGTCAGCCCCCGCTGCGCTCTCCCGTTCACGTCGGGAGAAGCTCCAGGGCCAGGCCGCAGTGGGAACAGGATGTCAGCAGAAATGGTTTCCTGGCGTCAAACAGGTCATCTTCCTGCCAGGCGTTAACCTTCGGGAAGAAACCGTGGCAGCGCGGAAGGGCACGGATGCTGGGGGCTCGGGACTGAGTCGGGGCTGGGACCAGGTCTCCGTCCCCCCTTCCTCCTCGGCGCGGAGGGTAATAGTGTCCGTTCCGAGGGACACGATGGGAACAGAGGTGCCACCGACCCGCCGGTGGGAGGTGCTGGCCCAGAGTCCGGGCGGCGGCAGCCGTTCATAGGCGCGAACACCCGTGTGCGGGTGAGGGCGCCCCCAGTCCCGGGAGGGGCCCTGCCGTCCCCCCGACCCGCCCCGACGGGAGCGGCCCGGGGAAGGGAAGAACTTACTCCAGGTCCTCGGCTACTCGGCGGCCGGGCCGGGATTGAACCCCTAACAGGGTCAGAACCGAGGGCCGCGTGGGGGAGATGAGTGGGCACAGGGACCCGGAGAGGCGGCGCGAGGCGGGGAGAGCTGGAGGGCGGGAGGAGGAAACGCCGAGCAGCCCGGGGTCCCCGTGGGCTGGGCGGCAGGACGC